TTTGCTGGGAAACTTATTAAGAAAATCGAAAAATCACTACTTTAAAGTACCTCCCCAGTCAAATTGTTGTTCACAGATAAAAAAATCGTAATATTATACAAATAAATTTCGTACATTTTCCTGTTTCTTCTTTTTTTTTTTTTTTAGTTTTTCAAATTTAATGAAAAAACTCGTTAAAAAATTACCTACTGTACCTCTCCAATGAAATTTCTTTTAAAAAAAAATTGTTGCACTTAAAAATCGGAGCAAGTCCTCTTGGTAGAAAAATTGTCAACAGAAAAAATAAATAAATAATCATCTTTGTAAAACCATAAGCTTCTTCTTCACTCCACTCGGAATCTAAAAATATTTAATTATTTTTAAAAAAGGATAATATTTTGATTATTTTAAATTAGTTTATGAAGTTTATAAAAGTTATATAGTTTTTTTATTTTCATTTTTTAGTATTATATTTTTACGAGTATTTATATGTACGATATTTTATATGTACTTAATAATTTAAAATTTTTTCGGTTTTAAACAGTTAACAATTATTTTTTTTTGTATTTTTGAAGAGGAATGATTTGACTCTCATTCGATAATACTCGAAAAACTTTTCAGGGTGTTAACGTATATTTACGTATAATTCTGAAAAGTTATAATTTTTTCTCGATCATAATTTAAGGGATGAACCCAATATCTTCTTTTTGAAGGAGTAGACTCATTCAGTTCTCCAGCAGCTTTTGTCCACACAAAACTTTCAAAAATAAATACTTCAATCTACCTTGCGATACCAAGTTAAGATTGAAACTAAACTAAATTTCATTCTAAATTTATTTTGAGTTCTCAAGTTTAGAGTAAAATAAATTATACAATTTTAAAAATATAGTAGTTACATGCTTTAATAATGCATCGTGTGGCCCGATATGTTATTGCGGCGTCACTCCGAGGGTCTTATTATAATCATATACAGCCAGTGGTATAATTTAGTGATATTTGTAGGGGAGATGTGAATGTATATAATATTGTTATAGTCTTTATAATTTAGATAAAATAATCAAATGAGCGTCGTCGATCCGTAATAAAATAATAATTGACCGCTCGGTGATTTATTTTACCACTACCATAACACAATATGGGGGATGGTAAACTCTTATAAAATATAGTTGTAAAGTTGTAAAAAGTAAAATAAGGTAATTTAAAATAAACAAAAATTAGTCATAAACTACAAAAATAAAAGGTCGAGATTGTTGTATTTCGAAATTACGGAAATAAGGTAGACGTTAACGAAATCTTTAAGAATTTTCGATACGATGCCTTATATTAATTTGTTTACTAAATTTTATTTTCAATTCGTAAGTCTCTATGAATATTTATCCAAAATGCAACAAAGAATGTCTCGTTGTCATTTTTCCATTAGAGAACTATTTCTGGTATTAAACGTCATGCGTGTTTATGTAAAATAATGAAATCGTAAAATCATACGTTTTTCCCCACTTACGTGTAATTATCTCAAATAAACTTCATTGTAAAACCAATATACATTCCTCACTACACTTAGAATCTAAAATGTAAAAAGGTGTGTAGTACATTACACCATCTATTTTTGGCAGGTAAAAGGAACTATGTAGGAGTTTACACTATGTTTTAAATACAGGTAAAAAAATAATTTTTCTAGTTTACATGTAGCCTACAACATATAGGTATATTTGGCTGCATACGAATTACGTCCCAGGTTTTCTATACGACTATACTATTTGCGTCCCGATTATCTGATATAACTTTGATAATCTCAATCAATAATTGATATGACTATATGAGTATTTATAAAATAAATTCAAACGGTTAGTATGTCTTTCGATTCCGTCTCATTGATAATTGTGCGCTGTTCTATTTCTTTTTAAAAATATGAGTTTAATTGTGAAGGAGGTTATAATTAGTGAAAAAAATAAAACATTCACTTTTGTAAATGATTTTAAATTTTGTTTTCATAAACTATTGTTTTATTCTGCTTATACAAATATCTACAAATGTTCTGATGTACTTAAAAACCTACAAAAAGATAATTACATACAAATTCGCAGTATCAAATTTTTACCGAGCCATAAATAGTATTATAATAACATATAAGTAACTTATACATATAACTTATTCTTTTATTTTTATATTTAACAATGAAAACAATATTTTTGATGTACATAATTACGAAACGATAAAAAACAATATTTTTAACCTACCTTTAGCAGTATATTATTTATTTAATGTTGCTATTGACAGTCCTAAGTCTGTATTAAATGGGAAGGAAAATAATATATTCACATCGGACGCAATTATTGTAATTGTTAAATATTATCGGGACGAAATTAGTGTAGGTGTTAAATATTATCGGGACGCAATTCATATGAAAAAGGGATCTTGGGACGCTTTTCACTTGGGATTCGTTTACACCAGCATATTTGTGCAATACTGAAACAGTGATACCTATACTGCCCTGCCATTGTGAAAGACAGTATCTACAAAAATGCAAATGTTGAAAAAATGGGGTTTTCTTCTTTTTGAACTTTTTTACTTGTTAAAAATATTATTCAATAATATTTTGATCATTATTTGTAGTTATTTATCTCAGAAATCGTTCTGGATAGTTTTATATTTTTTAAATCAAATATTTATAGTTTATTCCTTTTTTGGCAAGATTAAGTACATACTGCATTATGATAGTGAAAATGATTACAACTACAATTAAAAAAGCAGTATCAACCAATTCAACCACACATATGTTTTTTCTTTTTTTTTTTAAAAAATAACAACTAATTATAAACATCATATTTTAACTATATATGTATTCAATTAATAAAAAAATCCCTTTTTTAAAACTAGTTTTCATTCTTAGGAACTTAAATTGTTATGAATTTATGATCAGCCAACAAAGTATAAACTGATGTCTAAAATGATTAACGGATCATAACTTAGTCTGTGTGTTACATAATATTTAAATATTAATAGTACCTATTTTTGATTATAAAAATAACATAAATAATAAATAAATAAATTCTAAAATATAAAAACTAACTAATTCCAACTAATCAAAATTATGATCAAACTCATTGAAATACACTTATTATATACTTTAGGAAATTATAAAATGTAAAATTAATAATAAAGGAATTTAAAATATTGGAATTTAATCATAAACATGTAAATACAGCTTATTGTTGATCAGATAATTTAAGGTTACTAGATACATACGCAGTATGTATATCGCTAAATAAATTTACTAAATATATAAAGCAGTGAACTGCACAAGATATACTGCGTTTTTTTATAGAATATATTTTTTATTGCTATTTGTCTAGTATTAATTAGGTAGATACTACATATGTAAATCTTATTTAGAGGGTCTAAATGATGTTTTACTGCATTTTAACCTAGATAAATCGATGTAAAATGGCTTAATAAACAATAATCTCATTTATGAAAAATTGTCGATTACTGCCTTTCACTATGGCAGGGCAGTATGCACTTTCATTTATTACGAAGTATTTGTGTACAGCTGGCATAGATGATTAAGGTTTTTTTTATGTTATTTCAATACAATATAATAATATTTATAGTTAAATAAGTACATAAATGTAGTTCCCCAGTCTTTAGAAAAAAAAAAATGATCTTGGGGAGGATATGACACCCAAATCAACCCTCTCCCGTAATTACGTCTCTGTACAGACTAATCTCAGTCCCTCTGGAGAAAAATGTTGACTTTCAATATTTAAAAAGTGGGAAAAATGCCCTCTCCTCCTTATGTATGCGACTCATAACTTCGAGACTCCAATCGTTATTGTTAGTTATAGTTGAGATACTTAAGCTGTTTGACCTTTTCGAAAACGTGATTCTCAATTTCTATATTTTCTTCCTTGTCTGGTAATTGTTCCATCATTTCTGTTTTTTCTTGATTTATTTTTAGGCCAACCTAAATTACTAAAACTAAACTACCAATATTGTGTCTACATTTTAAAATATAAACAATAAAATAAGCTACTATAAAGCATAATCGTCGTCGTCATTAACGAGTTCATTAGAAAAACGTATATCATTTTGCTAAAAATAAACGAATACAAAATCCAGACACACCGATCAACACATTTTTAAAAAAAATGTAATTGGTATACATAAAAACAAAATAAATATTCAACACGATTTTGCCGCCCTCCAAAATTTGCCACCCTATGCGGCCGTACATGTATAAGGTACGTCAAACCGCCTCTGAACTTATCCCCCATGTACGCGGTACTTACTGACATTCCAACACACGTTCAGTTGTAATATATTATTACATTATATCGTTTTCCAAGTATATAATATAGGTATTATAATGTAATATAATAATTAATAACGACGGCGTGTCATACATTTTGGCGGGGTCGACGCGTCGTGTGCGACAACGGCCCTAATACCTATCGTCAATATTAATGTTTGTCATCGTCGTCATTGGCGAAATTAATGATCAGCCGAACCGCCAGTTGCGAACCTATTGTCGCGGGTCAGGTGTCTGCGCGCCTGTGTGTACGACGTGAGCGGTTTGCGACCGGTGTGGCGCGACGCATTGAATTATTTGCCGAAAATTTACATTCGCGGTAGCGGCCCATTTCCCTGCTTATCGTTGTTCTGTTACGCCACCACCGCGTCCTTTTTTTTTCTTCCTTTCTATAAACACACCATCCATACACTCGTGTACACACAATCAGCATACATAATATATTATTATAATACTATATAAATATATATATATATATATATATATATCGTTAAGTATTATTATTATTATTATTATTGTACTATCGATTTAGCCTTTCCTTCCTATAATAGGAAACCCCGCAAATACAATACCTACAATATTATATTATACCGCGGGTGTTATAAACATATATATACTTTTAATACTTTCGGGGCAAACGCGCGCGTCTGTCTGTGTCGCGCGGTGCGTTTCCACTGCGAGAGGTGGCGCGCCGAGTCCGGGCGCGCGCACGCGCCCCAGTACACGAGTATACAGTGGGTGCGCTCGCGTGTGTACGTGCGTGCGTGTGCGTACGGCGCGGGAGTGTGTGTGTGTGTGTGTGTGTGTGCGTGCGCGCGTGTCATTATAACACGAAAAGCGATTCTCGTCCATTCATGCAAAAACATTTTACCGTCACGAATATCGCCGTCGCCGCCCGGATGGAGTAGCGTAGCCTACTGCTATACGGCGTGTCCAGGCGAACATGAGCGATCCCGGGGGATAGACGTGATGACGCCGCCGGGTACGCCACCCAAAACGAAAAGTACAGGTAATACCCGAATTTTTATTTATTGTATGTATATACTTAAATATTTGTTATTGATAATAATATTAATATTATCTATACGTATTGTCTTTTTTCGTCAAAAAAAAATTGTCGAGTACTTGTCTAGGAACAGACACAGCTGGGGGGCTTGGGGGCTAAGTCCCTTCAGTTTTATAAATACCTACCCCCCATAATTATATTTTTGCTGACCCTAAATAATTAATTGTCAACCCTCAGGTTGAGAAACTCGGCTCTAGTCGATAGAAAATTGAAGATTTTGGTGAGAGGGAGCTGTAGGTGTGGGTTCCGAGGATTTTAATTAATTAAAGATAATAGGATATACGATTTTATTGTTTATTGAAGAAAAATGTATATAATGTACCATTCACTGTACTTATACATGGGAGGACCAACCAAAGTCTAAAAGTGTCGAACGCATGACAAATATTATTATTTTATAATGTGAAACGAAAATAAAATTAGACACCGAACTCCTCTTTCCCAAATTGTACATTTTAATAAATAGAATAAATGAGTATTCTTTTTTGGAAAACTATTGAAAACTGTAATTAAAGAAAAAAAAAGCGTCCTTGGATAATAGAGACGAGTCAGCCACTGTCATAAGTAATTTAATGTATATCTGTAAACAACGATAAACTATTACTAATAAAAAAAACGATTCTGAGCGGAGTTCAGTTGATAGTGATGCTTTGTCAATAATATGGATGTCACATTATGGTAAAATAATTTAATAGGCATTATATATTTTCTTTAATAATATTTGTTTAATATTGTACTGATTATCCCGTTTTCCCTGCGTTTTTCCCAGTTTTTTTCCCGGTTTTTCATATTTCTGAGAAAATCGAAAATGACCTCCTTAAAGTACCTTCCCAGTCAGATTTACTTTCAGAAAAAGTACTATCATTGTAAATCGGAGCAAAATTGCTGGTAGAAAAGTTGTTCACAGGAAAATTTAATAGGGTCGAAATATTTTTCAATTAATATATACCTACATTTCGTACATTTTCCCGTTTTTCCAAGATTTTATTCCGATTTCCCCCAGTACTTACTGAATAAAATTACGTATAAAACTCGAAAAATTAAAATTTCAATATATAGCTCAAAAATGACTTGAATAATATGCAATTCAGATTATATTATTTTTCTGTTTATTTGAAATTGGAAACAAAAAAAAAAATGTATCCATCTATTATAGGTATACTCAGTGATGTATTTGGGGAGTTTCCTAACTCCTGGCAATATTTTTTCTCCACAAATATTAACATAGCTTCATTACGAATTCATTCCTGATTATAATATAACTTAAAACCTTATAAGTGGTAAATGGAGAGGAGTGGTAGATTATTAACATGCCGTCCGCCATACCACCACACCTGCTCTCCTCCGACCGAAACTTAAAAGTGGAATATCTCGTCAATGACGCGACAGAAATCAAAAATGTCAACACTAAAATTTATTTCAACACTAATACTCCTTCTATTTATGGACTTTTTAATATAGGTTACCGTTTGAAAATAAAAAGTACGTAGTGGTTTTACCTCCAAAAATAAGAGTGACAGAAAATAACATAAATATAAAATTGTAGAGCAGCTTTTGTCTTAAATTTTCTAGAAAACAAATTCCAACAAAAAGTTAATACTTACCGATATAATAAATATGTACCAACTTAAATAGATCACTCGATATGTAGTTTGTTTTAAAATCGTCTATTCAACATAATCGTCCCTCAAAGTCGGACTTCGAAATCCTCTAGATATTTTATTGCTGCTGGACCATATTCATGCAGCGCAATTACACTTTCTTCGAATTTCTTCTTTGGCACTCCTTCATAATATGTCGCCTAGTTTTTATGACCCCATATTCACATAGTGGGAAGTTGATCATATCTAATTTATGTAGGAAATAGTTACACTTCCCTTGCTTCGTCCTTATATGGTTTAAGGCTTTCCGTTATGCTCTATTTTGGTAAAATCTTGGGTTTTGCTAGCAGGGTTTTTAATAGTGGAATAATTTCGGACGTATACGTTTGTTAATCTATTTACCCACATCTCCCCTATTGTTTTATTAATTGATTATATAGACTCATATAAGGTTACTATGTCCTTTAATATCGGTAAGTCAGTGGACAATGTCTTTGTTTTTAATCTTTAACCGATCATATATATGCATGTTAACATTGAAATTTTAATTTTGTTAGTAATCTATATATAGTTTCATAGTTTGTAGATAAAAATGTCGGAGGAAAAAATGTCCGGAGGTAAAAATTCCCGATGTCCGGCTTGTACACTTTAGGTATAGCTAGATAATTATAACAACCAAACCGAAGAATGGAATCTTTTGGTCAATTTGATCTTTAAAAGTAATAAAAATATTACTTTTAAGACCAAAATTAAGACAATTATTATACCTATTAATATTACTATTGCGTATGAAAATTATATTCAATTTATTATTTATATTTATAAATTATAATTATATAAGTATTATATTTTACTTCCAGACATTTTTCCTCACACATTGTTTCCTCGGATATTCTGATAGAACCCCAGTTTAATATTCACAATTGTGTATGGAAAATTGACATATACTCGAAGGGAGGCGTACACTATTTGGCCATATACTTCAAATTTATTGCATTTGGTTACATTTTGCATGACAGTGATGATATTCTAAAATAATGTTTATGATGTATAGATACATTATGATAATATTATTACATGTATGTATGTTATAAGAGTCGTTCGATTAAAAATGAAAAAAAATCAACACTTAAAACGGGTTTTAATAATAATATATGACGAAGACGGCTGAGTTTTTAATAATTTTCAGTATTACACATTATAAATTACATTTCAGTTTTAGATTCTGAGGTAGGTATCGAAGTGAAAACTTAAAAAAAAACTTTTTTTGGTTAAATAAATGTTTGAATTTTACTTTGTCACACCTTAAATGATGCTGATCTTTTCGCTTTATGGAACATTATTTGTACAATATTTTGAAATTTCTAATGCTTTTTCAAAAAATGTTATTTTATTTTATTTTTTTTTTTTGGTCAGATAAATGCTATAATTTTTAATTCAATTCCTCAAAAGATATGGAATTCCACTTTTAAATTCTTTTTGGTTTTTATTGATTTCTGAGATTCATTAGCAAATAGGAGGAAAAAAACGCGATTCTAAATTACTTCGCTTAGAATTGGTTTTCGTTTACATTGATTTATTGCATACAATATATTAACTAAATTACTTTGTGTAACCTATCATAATTCTCAACTGCGGTAGCCTAAACGTAAGTAGTATTAACTTTTTTAAAATATATGTGTTTTTTTTTGAAATATTAAAAGATTCCAACTCATTTTTTTCAATTTAGTTATTTATTTATTTTTATCAATGTTTATTTCCTGTGTAAACACACGAATTATTTTTTTTTTGTGATAAAAATGATAACATTTAATTTTAAGGGAAAACATAACCTTTCCCTTCAACATCAAATTTAGTCTTATAAGGCTTAAAGCTATTTTGATAATACCAGTTATTTTTGTTTTGTGTATAATATCCATGTCCAAGAAACTAAAACTTGCCTTGTTCTCCTAAATTAATCATTAAAGGTGTTTAATTTAATTTAATTTAAAGGGTTAATAATAGGCTTTTAACTTAGAATACTTAGATTATTATTATTAATATTATGATATGATTGTATAATTTGATATAGTTCATACGTATTAAATAAAACACGGAAATATGCAATAAACTAAAACACTCTATAAATATTTAAAAAAAAAAAATTTATTTCTAAAAAAATTTGAAAAAAAATTACAGATAATTTTGTGACACAACTCTAATAGAAGAGGTACTATAGATATAAAGTACTTTTAGACTCTAGAATCTAGATAAAATTCTAATAAGAGGGAGTCCATAAAAGTCCTCTAGTGCACTAGGGATGTCCGTGCATGGAAGTTACTGTGCTGTTAGGATACTCATCATTACGTCTTATTAAATTTATAATATATTTATCGATAATCAAATTATCGGCTCGGAAAAATTGATAAATACAACACTTATTGACTTATAAGATATTTGATAAGTATCTGAAATAAATTTGACCAGTTTTTGTAAATCCCTAAACATTTTCGTAGACATGAGACTTATTTTAGGAAACCGGTATTCTTTATTTACCTACACTTGATAAATATCGGAGCAGCCTGCTGAAAACCAGAAGTGTCCCGCCTAAACTGGGATGAATAGCAGCAAAAACATGAAATTTCTTCAAATACGTAATTTTCGTATATTATATTATGCGGTGTTTAATTTTTTAAATTTTATAGTTACCTGCCGGCTACCATATATATTTACTATATTCATCATCATCTATATTATATACTATATTATATTATAATATATATTACGCGTATTATAATATAGGACATAGGTAGTTGGTTTGAAAGTTACGACTTTTTTATAGGTCTTTATTTCTATTTTTAAAATCACGTGATAATAGGTACATCATTATATAATATTATCGATATTTATACCTAACACGATAAATTTGTTGTATTTTTTCGCCGTCGTCGTCGCGTCGCGTTGCATTTCATCGCAAATCGTGCAATTATATAATACAACGATAATAATCTATATACTACCGTATTTATAACATATATTTACTGTCGTAGTTAATATCAACAAATATTATGGAAACGCGCCGCGCAATTACCGCATCTCTATGAAGAACTTACAACGATAGTATTATTACAATGCTACTTATATAGCTGATAATTTATCAGACGATATATTTGTATATGTCATTATAATATTACTAATACCTACAGTTACGATAGTAAATATACCATATAGTTAACACGATAATTTAAAAACACTACCTGTCATCACTATATTATGTATTGGTCTGTGTCTATGCATCGTCGTCAGTAAGCGTATAAACGACGGGCAAGTTAAAATTTCAAACGTACGTTCGATTATACGATTGTGACGACGAATAATATTATTGCTTCGTATTAAAATGTCCGTCACGTTTCCAAACCAAAAATCTCGACGTCCCGAATACTAAATATTAATAGGTAATAATAATATGTCGTATAGGTAGTAATAAAATAATTACGAAAAAAAATCTCATTTACCACCTATGTATACGCAATCCATTTTGAATATACCTATATACACATTGTATTTATAGTATGGTCAGTTTTTCATGGTCAAAAAATATGTAAAGACGTAAACGTATATTAGGTAATGGTTTATCGTAATCGCGCAAAGGCTGCATATAAACGAGTATATTATAATTATTATTATTATTATTATTATTTATATCATTCGCATATTTTTTTTATCCAGTATGCGTACGTGAGCGTTAAAATCGTCCGATCGAGGTTATATTAGTAAAAAATTCACTGAAAACTGTATATCTACTCATCGCATGGTCGATGATCGTTGTTTTTATTGGTTCTACTATGAAACATGCAAGCCCGGATTAAGATGATTTTGGGCCTGAGGCCAAACAATTTTAGGGGTCCATACACATATTCAAAATATTGGTGTTTATATAGTACTTTATATCAGCCAAGGCCAGAAGCCCACAATATTACGATATTCAAGGGCCTGAGGCCATTACCCCCTCTCCCCCTTTATCCGGGCCTGGAAACGTGTCCTTCAGTGCTAGGGTGCGAGGATCCAGGAAGAGCACTGGGGACATGTACTTCATCCTGTTTGTCAAAAAAAAAAAATTATAAAACAATTATATTTTTCAGATTCAAAATGTGACAAAGAATATAGTGGTTTTACAAAGATGTTTTTTTTTTATTACTGTGATAAAAATTTCTACCAGAAATCTTGTTTCAATATGTATGTGTGGCACCATTTTTGATAGAAAATATTGTCTGGAATCTAGATAGTACTTTAGGGAAGTAATTTTGATTTTCTAAGTAGTTTCCATAATATCTGAGAAAACCCGGGATAAAACGCAAGAAAATTGGGAAATTTATGAAAATAATGTTTTTTATTATTTTTAATTTTGTTATTTGTTTCAATTCAGGTAAAAATATTCGCATGAACTTGAAATTTGAACAGAAAACTTATAATTACCTTTTCTAGGAGCAATAAAATTTTAAAACAATTTTGGCCATTTTTGAGCTGTTTATAGACATTTTAATTTTGCAAGTTTTTTACGTAATTTTTATTTTACTCTGTAGTAAAATTGTTAGACTAAACAGAAATTATTTAACAGGAGGTTCATTGAAGCCGTAATTTGTAGTCAAAAAAAAAAAAAAATAATTAAGCTTAATGTCATTTTAATGTAGTCATTTTTTTTTTTTTTATGAATAATATTAAATTTTGACAAAAATTGTTAGAGTAAAAATTATGTGAAACATTTCTAACTATTCATATTTTTTTTGTTTCGTTACAAAGAAGTGATTTTTTTTTATCTGTGTAAAATTTTTCTATCAGCAATTTTGCTCTAATTTAAAATGATAGCAATTATTCTGAAAATAAATTTGACTGGGGATGTATTTTAAAGAGGAAATTTTTCGATTTCTCAACTAATTTGAAAAACTAGGAAAAAAAACATGGGATAACTTGGAATAACTTAAGAAAAATGGGAAAATCGGTACTTTAAACAAATATTATTAAAGAAAATATATATAATGTGTATTTAATTATTTTACCATAATATGAAATATATATTGTTGATAAAGCATCAATATCAACTAAACTCCGCTCAGAATTATATTTTCGTTAGCAATGGTTTATTGTTGCTGACAGGTATAAATTAAATTACTTACAAGAGTGGCTGCACCCGACCCCATTCTTCTAAGACGTCTTTTTTATTTTGAACTTACGTATATTGTCGATTTAAGAACGATAGTGAAGTCAAAATTGAGTGGACTGACTTATTTTTGAAATTATAGCTTTTTGAAGTTCAAATATTATATGGATATTATGTGTGTTATGTTAAATAACTCAATATTGACTGTATTATTGTTTATCTGTCGTAGTTTAGTGGTGGTACTGACATGTTGTCAACCCAGAGATCGCAAGTTCAAATCCGAGTTCAGAAACAAATGCATTTTGGATGCATCTAGAGATCCAAGTCGTCACTCACTCGGACTATATTAATTGAAAAACACCCCTAGATTTGCAGGGAAGTTTGCAACTTTTATACCAGAAATCTTGCTTCAATATATCAAGTATAGGGTGTAACAACTTTTCTAAAAGGAAATTTCATTATAGTTTAGAGAGATCATTTTTTGATTTTCCATGTGGTTTTCATAATAATTAGGAAAAAACCGAGATAAAGTGTCGAAAAAACGGGAAAATTTACGAAAATAATGTTTTTTTATTATTCAGTTGAACATATTCGTAGTGACTTGAAATTTAGATAGAAAACTTATGTTTGCCTTTTCTAAACGTGGTAAAACTGAAAAAACATTTGAGCCATATTTGAGCCATTTATAGACATTTTAATTTTGTGAATAATTTTTATTTGGTAGGTCTCTGTTGATAAAATTTTCAGACTAAAGAAAAATGCTTAAAAATTTAACAGAAAATTGAAGGAGGTTAATTATAAGCCATATTTTGTGGTCAAAACAAAAAAAATTGAGTTTAATGTAGTATATTTTTTTATAAGAGTTTTGAATATAAAATTTTAACGAAAATAATTTTAGTAAAAAATTATGTAAAATAAATTTAGTTACTGGTTTATAGAAATTATTTCAATATATATTTATTTTACTTTAATATGACATCAATATTGTTGAAAAATCAATATCATACTATTAATTGAGCTCCTCTTAGAATCGTTTTTCGTTAGTAATGATTAATCTTTGCTTACATTAAATTTTCCTGTATATTCTATGAACTTCAAAAAGCTATAATTTAGAAACTTAGTTAGTCCGCTCAATTCTGACTTAACCATTCTTTTTAAATCAGCAATACACATATGTTCGAAAAAAATGAAATTGAATAATTAGATTTGTTCCATATAATTTTTTATTTAATTTTCGTTAAAATGTAGTATCAAAAATCCTTTATAAAATCAAATACTACTAATTCAACTCGATTTTTTTTTTTTACTATAAATTACGACTTTCAATGAAGCTCCTGTTAAATAATTTCTGTTTAGTCTAACAATTTTACTACAGAGTTTGACCTACTGAATAAAAACTACGTACAAAATTAAAATGTCTATAAATAGCTTAAATTGGCTTAAATTTTTTGAACATTTTATCAATTCTAGAAAAAGTAAATATACATTTTCTATTTAAATTTCAAGTCAATAGACTCGATATGAATATTTATAACTGAATTTCCACAAATATATTAAAATTGTTTTAAAAAACTTAAAAATTACTTAAATGTTTTGAAAATTTTACCACAACTAGAAATGGCAAATATTAAGTTTTCTGTCCACATTTCAAGTCTCTACGAATATGTTTAACTGAATTACAATAAATAAAAAATTTAAAAATAATAAAAGCATTCATTTTGTACATTTTCCGTTTTTCTTAAATTTTATCCTGGTTTTTCTCAGATATTAAGAAAACCGCTTGGAAACTCAAAAAATAGCCTCCTAAAAGTACCATCTGGATAACATTCTCTTTCAGAAATGTTGCCGTGCGTATGTATATCTAAGCAAGTTTTAAGGTCGAATTTTTGTACACTGGATAGAAAAAAAAAAAAATAAACATCTTAGTAAAACAAATACAATCTTCGCTACACCGAGAATCTAAATTAGGTGCAAAAACGATTTGAAATAATACATTAAAATTAACTCAGATTTTAACAGATAATCGTATGACAAAAATCGTAAATATTGTGGCCTTTCAAAACATGTATATAATTGACCTTCGTGCCGAATCCTTTGCTGTTTTTAATTGTTTATCATTGTTTACAGATATAAATTAAACAACTTTTTGTATCCTACCTTCATAACTTTCTACCTAACAACAGAGGCACACCCGTTCCTCTTTGTTAGCTGTTTTAGATTCTGCGCAGAGCGAGGAATGTATTGGTTTTACATTGATGTTTATTTTTTTTTCTTTGTACAACTTTTCTATCAGAAATTTTGCTCCATCTTTTAAGGATAGCAATGTTTCTAAAAGGAAATTTCATTAGTGATGTACCTTAAATAAGTCATTTTTCGATTTTCCCCAGAATTTTCTCAGCAAATATGAAAAACCGGAATAAAAACATGGGAAAACCTGGAAAAAATGTAGGAAAACTGAGAAAATCGGTATAATATTAAACAAATTTTATTAAAAAAAATTTACAAAGACTATTTAATTATTATTTTTTTTTACTATACAATTACATTTATATTGTTAACAAAGCATCACTATCAACTGAATTCCGTTCAGAATCGTTTTTTCGTAAGCAATGGTTTGTCGTTGCTTACAGGCATGCATTAAATTATCCATAACAGTGGCTGCAACCCCTCCAATCATCCTAGAACGTCTTTTTATAAATACATTTTTTATTTATGTATTTATTTACTATATGTATGTACTTCATTTTTTGACGAACCATTTTAATAATTTTGTTTTTACTTTATTATTTTATTATTTAAAAAATGTTTCCTATTTATACCGTTAGAAATATATATTTATCCTTATATCAGGCTGTATATCAGTATGGCATTCTAGTTTGGGGAGAACTTACACAAAAAGTAATTAAAACTCTACAATTACAAGAAAATAAAAATCTCAGAATACGTCTTAATAAACTTAGTCTTGTAGGATCTACGTTACATAATTATAATCAATTTAAAGTTTTGCCTGTTACGTTACGTTACAGACAATTTGAAATTTTGTGGGTTATAAAGAATATGGAAAATTGGTATAGCATGGATAGAAATAACCAAATTAAAAAAAATAGTGCATACTATGTTAAAATTAAATTTAAGAAAACTTCTTTTAGACAAAGATTTGTGGACTATTTTTGTCCAAAATTGTTTAATGGGCTAAATTAAGTCTCTAAAAAAAAATTTAATCAAAAATTCTAAATCCAAAATGTGCGAAATATTTAATAAAACATTGGTTTTTTCTATAGAATAAGTTTTCTATTTTCTATTTTCTCTCTGTATATTTTGTCATATTTACTTTAAATTCAGTGTCTCTATGTGGTTATTTTAATAACTTAAGTCAAAAATGTATTATTATATTAATATATTTATTTAAGTAAATACAACTAATTAAATAAATGTATTTTATTTTAATTTTAGTTAGATTAAGTTACTCTTATCTAATCTAAATTTTATCTTAAATAATTATTTATACATTCTGCTAAGTAATATCTTGTTTTCATGTAAGAGTAACAAATTATTTATAATAATCTGTAATCACAACTCCTTACCTTCACCACAAGCATTGCTTATAAAAGATAGATATTTAATCTAAGTGAGAACTGTATACTTCGTGTTGAATCTATGTATTTATAATATTGCATTGTATCTACTTACTTGTGTACATATTTTTTCTTTGATTTAATTATAATAATAAAAAAATAAATTGATATTTTCAGTGAAAAATTAATAATCCTATAACTGAATGTATGTTAACTTCTTTGTTAGAAAAATATACAAATGTAAACCCTCTCTTCTGAAATATTTTTTTGTAAACGCACCTGCCGCCAGTGTTGGGCATGAAAATAAATGTATTATTGTATAATTTACAAATAAAAATATTTTTTATCACTTTAAAATGCATTACCGACAATACTATAATATTATGTATAAATGTATAATGTATATTTTACATGATGAAAATATTTTACTGTTATATAGGTAGCCCAGAAAACGAAGACGTGACAGTGATAGACATCGAAGATGATTCCGTGTTCGCCAACCGCAATAAGAACGACGGCAAAAAGCACGTGCATTTTTCGGAGGAGACCATCACGGTGATGATACCCAATCCACCCAAAGGGTTTTGTGATTCGGTTAAAAAACTGTTGGATTTCGTTTGCTGTTGTGGGTGTTGTTTTCCCAACTATTTATAATAATAATATTATTTTAAATTTGTAATAATAAGCTTTGTGATATATATTAATAATAACTAACGATACTTATAATATTTATTTATGTATACCTATATATAAATGTATATTTGTTGAATATTAATAATTAATATACTGTAATAATCGTATATACTTATAATGGATAATATACGTCAATTGTTCGCCAAAAAGAGTTAGTGAGATAATTTTTTGCACAACAATAGTTCATGAGAAATTATTCAAATACGATCTATACGTCAGTCTGTCAGTGACAACATTAAATTAAAATCGTACTGCACATTAACTGTATGTTATTGAACTTTATATAGATTATGCGATAGACGATAATATTAATAGGTAATTCTAATACTCACATCATACAAATTATGCAACATTCACGCAGTTAATATTTTGACCAGTATTTTGTCCATCTTATTTTATTTTATATTTTAAATTAAATTACTATAGTTTTAAAATATATCAAATGTGACCGGGGTACCATACATTTTGAAATTTAAACAAAAAGATTTATTTAATTCATACTTCAAAAAGAAGAAAACATAAATAATTTGAAAATTCAGCAGTATGTTTTGGGCAAAATTCATAATAAAACAAATGTATCAAAATAAAAGTGAACATTTAAAAAAAATATGTGCAGTATATAATAACCGAACAACAATTGATTATCTTCGTAGTGTTGCTTACAATTTTCAATTCCAAATATAATAATAGAAATAAAAATATAAAAGGTAATTATTTACTAGCGAATGCCATCCGGGATTGCCGGAATGATTTAATTTTTAATTTTTATTATGAAGTATTTATGCCATGACAATCTTTCATTTGAAATTGTGTTCTTTTTATTTATGTGTATATGCTTTTATATTAATTCGTTATTTTTAATAGATAAATAAACATTAACATACATATTAAACATAAAAACCCCTTTACTGGTTGAACGTTTTTAAATAGATAATTGATAAGTATAAAAAATGTCTACTAAAACTATTATAACTTTTTGACGAACAATTTATTGTACTCGAACGATTGTCGCGCAAATAATCGTCGCGCGAACTATTTTCGCCGAACAATTGACGTGATACCACATATAATATTGTGCATAATATATTGACGTGATATTATAATATATAATTATATACTGTAAACTGTTATATCGCCGTTATACGGCCACCGTGTATTCTTTTATTATTTGTAAATATCATAATAATAATATAATATTCGGAAACTGTTTTTGAAATAATATTTTGTCAAATTTTCCAAATAAAATACGTAGAAATGCGAATTCGGTTTTTTGACATATTATTGTAAACCCACTTTCTTTTTGACGAAAGGAAGATTTTTTTTAAATAGAAAATCTCAAAAGAAACTTTAATAACTACATATTGTAATAGTATAAAAAAAGTAAAGGAAAATAAATAATGCTACTATGAAGTAATACAAAGAAAGAATAAGATTGAAACAAATATTAACATGTATATAATATACTTGGGTTAATTTTCGGTAACACAAAGAATGATTTATTTTTAAATATAATAAAAATTCAGTTTACTAATTATATTACTACCTTCCTCCTGATATTTGGAGGGATTCGGAGTAGTGAATTCAAGAATGGCACAGACGAGATCAATAAATAAAGGAAAACTATAATTATTTTACCTGCCCATGGTGTTAGAACGCTAGGGTGGATATCGTCATGCCATCCTGAAGTGTTTGGGCAGTAATCACAATTCAATTGAAATAAACTAATTTAATTAATTAACACTTTTTAACTGTGTGTACTCAGATAAAAAAATGTTCTTTGCATTAAGATTGACAAAAGGTTGAATTGAATAAAATAGATATATAAAGAAAATGAACACGAGTGATTAGCTTCTAAAAGTCGAAGCTAGCTATTCGAGCGAGATTTTTAAAAGAATTTGGTAGATCATAGTTGTTATGTAAGGTTCTCAACAAAATAATGGTCTTGGGATTTCTCGAGTGGTCAAGACGTTCCGAGTTTTTATGGAAAAACCGTTATTTTATTTGAATTCTGTGTAGTAATAATTATAAGTCCTCAGTGGCGCAACAAGCGGGGTTGTTGGGTGGTACTTACACCAGGGCAGCAGAGTACCTGACATTTTAGAAGGCACCATTTGATGCGTTTGTATTGTCGGTATTTATTTTATTGTAACATAAATTTTGTATATTAAATATCAATATTTAAATAAAGGTGGTATTATGGTAATAACGATGAAAATAGTTTACATTGTTTATTATGGTTGGGTTAGGTTAGGTTATCAAGATTGTATGTAACCATAGTTATATAAAATAACAGTAAACTCTGTATATTAGCTTGACAAAAATTTGAAGTCATTACCAATTATAGGTGGGACAAAAACAATTACAAAATAGAATATAACCAACATCAAACAAATATTATCGATTATATATTTATTATCTTATAATAGACACAATTTAATAATAAGAATAACAACCGTTATATATGAATGATATGAATAAAATGAATAATTCACTATCCTTATTGCCCAATCTGTAAATGGCGTCTGACTTCAATAATAAATGCAAGTTTGCTATCTAGGTATTTTATATAATATTTATAAGTTTTAATAAATAAAAATACATATTTGATTATTTTTTTTTATAAATAAGTATTTTAAAAAATATGGATTTGTTCTTAGCCACATATATTTTACAATATTAAGTATTATATAATATTAAAAATTGTTTAGTTATAATTTGTGTACAGTATCCACACTGAAGAGCATGCCAAAATCAAATATTTCCTGTTGGTGAGTTTTTTTCCAATGAGCAGCTAGACGATTTTTTTTGCGAAAGTTTTTACTGCACATATTACAAGTATAATGCGGTTTTAAGTGAATAGTCTTATGCAATTCGTAGTGATTTTTCCGGACAAATCGTTTTTGACATGTTTCACACTCATACCTTAAAAAAAATATATATACATACATTGTGTTCAATCTTTTATGTACCACTAAATATCTAAATATCTTAGCTTGATGATCTAAAATTGAAATAGGGTTTTCGGTAGATGAAGGGGAGTATCAAAATATACACTTTGAGATAATTTTTAGTTTTTAACCCTTTAATTGCATGTATGTACAGTTGAAATTACTTTTTTAACTAGCAACCTTTATTTTTGTTACCAGATATGGGGAGATAATTTTTTTCTGAGTCATTTTATCTTTTGACCATATTCTTTCTAAACCTCAAATTAACTAAGTTATAGCTTTTTGTAATTTGAAAATAATACACTTGTATTAAGTCATTTATTCGTGGATTTGGAACTTTTTATTAAAAAATTAAATGATAATTACTTTGTAACATATTGTTTTTATTTATGTTAAATTGTTTTATCTTATAAAATGTTTACAATTTCCTCCATTATTTACTAAAGTTGCTTTCAAATGAAAACATCAAATTATTTTAAAATTTCAAAGAACAATAATTCAGTTAATTTTAAGTTTAAAACCATGGTAAATGGATCATAATTATATATATATATATATATATATACATATTTAATCTATTCATATCTGGTGACAAAAAAAGGGTTGCTATTCAAAATAGTAGTTTTAATTGTGTGTGCACTGAAAGGATAAAAACTGAAAATTATATCAAAATGTGTATTTTGGTACTCCCCATCACCTACTGAAAACCCTATTTCAATCTTAGGTCATCAGGCTCAGATATTTAGTGGTAAATAAAAGGTGGAACACACTCTATAATGCATATACACAATTGTAAAATTTATAAAAATGTTAACTATTTAAAAATATTAACTTACCGATAAATATTATCATGTTTTTCTGCAATGTGATATCGGAGACCAACACTATTGTAAAATGTCAAATTACAATTTTCTCGAGGACAACTCACGCGTTTACTTTCTTTTTTCTTTTCATCCTAAATAATCATAAAATATATAAAAAATCAATAATATATGCTTCAGCTAACATGCAATTAAACATATCAAAATTATTTTTTAAAAATACAGATATACTTAGTCGCACATGAGTGCAGCTACTATAGTAGGTGGGAAGTTGGGAAGGTAGGATACAGAGGGGAATTTAATATACATCTGTAAGCAACGATAAACCATTACTAAAGAAAAAATAATTCTGAGCAGAGTTCAGTTGATAATGATGCTTTGTTAACAATCTATGTCATATTATGGTAAAATGATTAAATATACATATATTTTCTTTAATAATATTTGTTTAAATATTGTACCGATTTTCCCATTTTTCCAATTTGTTCAAAAAAAACTTCTTAGAAAATCAAAAAATGACTTTTTTAAAGTATCTTCCCAGTCAGATTCCCTTTCAAAAAAAGTATTATCATTGTAATTTAGAGCAAAACTCGTGGTAAAAAAGTTGTTCACGGAAAAAAAAAATTGTAATATTTTAGTAATATATTTCGTAAATTTTCCCGTTTTTCACATTTAATAAGAACACTCCTGAGAAAATCGAAAAATGATCTATTTAAAGTACCACTCCAAGAAAATTTCCTTTCAGAAAAGAGTCAACATCGTATGCATCGAAGTAACCTATCAGGTATAAAATGTTCACATAAAAAGACCAAAAAAATAATAATCATCTTTGTAAAACCAATACATTCTACGCTACACTAAGAACCAAAAATGTATATAACTGTTTGATAAAAGCAATAAAAAGTATGTAAGAAGTATAAGTGTATCTGCGCTGCATGAATATGGTCCAATGGCAATAAAATGGCTAGAGAATCTCGAAGTCCGACTCTGAGGGTCCTATATTGTTATTATTGTTATTATTATGTCCTATATTTATTTTTCTACTTTGGCACCATTGCTCTGTAAAAACATTGGATTTATACTGCATATAGAGAAAAAGAAGCTAATGATTTGAAATCTGCGTCCTAGTTATTATATAGACCTAACCCATTTCTGGTTATATCGAGAGTTCCGTAAGGGAGACACTTGACGTCATTGTTGTCTCACTATTCATTAACCGTGTGCACTGAGTACTGTAACACTCCCGTATTCTTTGTTTTGCTGATGACTTTTCTAGCCTGTACACAATTCTAATTGCCGTTTGCTACAAACTGACCACGATAGATTTTCTGATTGGTTTAGTGCTCTGGGTTTGTCAATTAATACTTCTAAGTGTAAAGTTTTTACTTTTGCTAGAATTCAATCTCCTGTGGTTTTTTCGTACGCCTTTAATCCAGCCAATATTCTGCGTGTAACTGATAGTATTTTAGATCTTAGTTTTAAATTTACTTTCAACCTTGTGTCAAAACGATATATATATGCTGCAAGGCGTTTAATTCGGGTCTGGGTCAATTGACCGACAGGCCAATCAACAAGCAACCTAAAATATCGACAGGGACAATTGACCAACAATAATATACAGTCAACTTATGATATAATGAAAATCTCGATGTAACGAATAAAACTGTCATTCCCTTGAATATCTTGTGATATAACGAAAAATTAAATGTATTTTTGTCCCCTCTATATAACGCATTTTTTATCCTCTTGTAATGTAACGAAGTTTTACAATCGTGGAACCTGATATTACGAATTTTACGATTTTGTTTCGGTTATTACCACGCGAAAAATTAATTTCGTCGTTTATAAAATATCTGCTAAATATAAATCAAGCTTGCTATTCCGCAGTTATTTTTAGCGATTATCATTAAACCGCAACCTTGAAGGAAGCAAAATCAGAGCTTCGCGCCGTCTTAAATTACTTACAGAGACATGACATCGATGACAGTGTGTTTGTAGCATTTTAAATTTGGACAATGCTATTGACCGGGTAAGCGCAAGTGACTACACAAAAAAACAAATAACCGATTTAAAATAAAAAAAAAAAATTAGTTAATTAATAAATAATAACACCTGTTCTGTTCCTAACCTAACTTCACGTTTGTATCTAATAAAATTGTAATAATATCTTATGTATGTAATTATGTATAATAATCCAATAAGAATTTTTAATTAAATCTCGTTAAAACGAAATTTGTTGATTTATGCTTTTGATATAACAAATTTCGACGTACCAAAATTTTTGCTCAGTCCCTAGAAAATTAGTACTCTCGCTACACTTGGAATCTAAAATAATAATAAAAAAAAACCAATAATAATAATTGTTCGCGTACGATAAATTATAATTACTACTCGTTTTTTTCTACATTATAAAACCCACGTAATTACACGACTATAGTCATAAAATAATTTTACATCAAATTACGTTTATTATATATAAATGTATATACGTTTATTATTATACATAGATTTGAATAGATTATTAAAATAAAAATATAAATTGCATGGCGTTATTTCATTTTAATAATTTAACGCCAAAACTGGAAATTTTGTACAAGATGGAACTTAGACTAAACTAAAACTAGTTGGGAAAGGTAACAAAAGCGGGCTAACTTAAATCTAGGTAAAAAGAGGGCCTGGATTAAGCCTTAATTAATTGACGCAAAGCACGGTGGAGGAGATTGTTAAGCCCATAAGAGGTGCGGTGTTGTGGTAGGTGGAACAAGGAATGAGTTCTGAAGGGGTAAGTGAGGACCCGGAAAGATATGATTGATAGTAAATCTGGAGCATCGATGGTTCCATTGAAAAGAGGAGGCGAAAAAAAAATCGGCCTTAATAAGGCGAGAGTGAAGGGTAGGTAGATCTAGGGCAGAGCGGATAATAGAACAGTCGTGTTTGGATGGTCAATTTTGAGCAGATAAGAAGCAAGCAAAAGAAACTTATTCTTCACGCGCTCAATACGAAGTTGGTAGTGAGCGAAGTGGAGATGCCAAAGTACTACGCCGTATTCAAGAAAACAGCGAACGAGTGATGAGAAAGTGCACGGAGGCAGAGGCGAAAGGTAAAGTCAGAAGTGTTCCGCCTGATGAATTCCAGAACTCTTAAAGCTCGGCCAATGGTCAAATTTATATAGTGATCAAAAGACAAATTGGATGTTTAATAGATACCTAGATCTTTAACCACAGTGACGTGATTAAGTGAGGGGGGTCACTAAGGGAGTATTGATGGGAGATAAGAGAGGGATTTGGAAAAAGACATAACATGACACTTCCCGATGTCTAGACAAAGGTTAATATTGTTGACCTAACTACTAATATAGAAATAAACTATTGATTTGAAGATTTTTTGCAGGATGTGGAAGAATGGAGATAGGCTTATAGTTGGAGACATCTGAAGAATCACCAAATCTCAAAATAGGTGTTATGAAACAGATCTTCCAGATGTCAGGGAAGATGCCTTCAGAAAGGGAGCACTTAATAAAAGAAAAATAGGGTAAACTAAAGAATTATGACACCTATAAAGCATGCGAGCAGAAATAAGATAGGGCCCATTAGAAAGGTTGTTCTTTAATTTGGCGAGCTCAGCAAGAACGTCAGTACAAAAAAGGAAGCAATTGGAGGAGGCTATACGAAAAATGTAATGTGTTAGACGGACTACAGGGAACGGCTGACGGTCGCTTGAAAACTGAGGAGAAGTACTTGAAAAAAGGTTAGCTGAGTCAGAGGAACAACTTGCTACTTTATCAACAGATAGACTGATGAAGGAATTTGAGAATTTTGCTTTAGGTTCTTGATGTACTTCCAGAAAGAAGAAGGATCTGTGGTGAGAAAATGCTCAAAGTTAGATATAAAAGACCTATAATTAGCTAAGGCACTTGCATTTAGCAATGAGCTCAGAGAAAGTTGAAGAACCTATTGCCTGGTTAGATAGTTTATAGGCTTTATGTGCAAGTTGCTTTTAGTGTATTAGATTTTTTAAAGGGAATTTTGGTGTAGAAAAGACCTATGAGGGATAAATTTATTTATGGAGTTAAGAAAAGCATCATTGAAGACAGTGGCTGTATCGTTAGTGGAGTATCTAGAGAAGACGGACTCTCAGTTGAAGGAATCGAAGAATTTTGAGATAAAATCATAGTCTCCAGATTTGAAATCGAAGAAAATGTGTTGAAAACTGTGTCTAGGATTGCTCTGTAATTTTAATTCAATAAACAAGAGGGGGTGGTATGCATCAGTACTGACAAGAGCAGTAAGAGCTTTGTTAATCGACAGGTCACATGAATTAGAGATTACCAAATCTAAAATATTATTAGAGCAGTTAAAGATTTGGTTACACTGAAAGAGATCTAGAAAGGAGAAACCATTAGAAAAGAGAGCGGTCTAGAGAGTAATTCCAGATGTAACGAGATCCAGTTCATCAGAGGATGAAAATTAATACTTTATATATTATTGTTAATCAATTTTCCTATCGGTATTTTAGTTGTCGGTCAATTGTCCTGTTGATTGATTAACCTGTTGGTCAATTGTTCATCTTTCATTTAAATTGCTAAGCTTTATTATTAGGTTGGCTAATAAACAGAATCTAAGTGTTTCAATCAAGGTACTTTTCTGTACCATTGTACGCACTATTATAGAGTATAGATGCACTGTTGGGATCTTTATACTGCTTGTGAGAAAAGGCAAATTTAACGAGCTCAGAATAAGTTTTTACGTTTTGCTATTTATATTTTTAAAAATCCACTGTTCAACTCGATGACTACTCACTAGTGGCTAATCTTATTGGGTTTTCCTCGTTGGCTGAGCAAAGGTGAACTGCTAGTTGTAGATTGGAAGACTGTAAATTGACAAAGTTGAATCCATTGATCTTGTTTCGCTATTATACTTTAAAGTACCTCAACGTTTCACTAGATCCATGGCTTCTTTTATGTCCCTCATGCCACCACAAACTCTTTAGCTAATGAACCAATGAGAAGATTAATGTCGAACGCCAATATGGATCCTAGTTTTTTAGTTTATGTTTCTTTATTACATTTATTTGTTATTTATATTTAATTAGTATGTACTAAATTTCTTTAAAATTTACTTTTCCTACACATTATTTAAAAAAGTGTCTCATCCGTTAAATAAATATAATAAAAATGATGAAAAAATTCGGGGGGAGGGGAGGGTGAACTTCTACCTCCCCTGTATACGGGCTTGATTTGTTATCCTCAAAATACCTAATACAAGGTTAATTTTCAAAACTTTTAGTGATTTTAAAATATTTTAGTGTAATATTATAAAAACAATGGTCAAAGTAATAAAAATGTAATTCTTCAGTAAATATATCATACCTTTGGATGCGATTGCATATGAACATATAACATTACATCATTATCAAAACGCATAGGACACTGTCGACATTTAAATTTCGGTAAACGTTTCGGACCATGTACCCTGGCAATATGTTTTTTTAGATAATTAGGAAAATTGAATGATTTTCCACACTCTGTACATATTACAGGCTTGCTAGATTATTAAGTGTATCAATTAAAATATTGTACAATTACAGACAATAATATATAGAAATTATTGTACTCACTTTTCATTTGTTTCATGTAACCGTTTAATATGCCTGTTTAATAACTGAATTGTTGAAAATTCCTTATCACAATCTAATGAAGAACATTTAAAAATATTATATGGATGTTCTTGTTTTCTATGAGCAAGAAAAGATCTTCTTTTATTGAAAGTCAATTGACACACATCACAGATAAATCCTAACGAATTCTAAACACTTCTGATTACATTTTTAATTTAACTAGTATAACATTACTATTAAATCATTTTACTTACTTGATCTGGATGTACTTTCTTGTGGTTATTTAAATATTGGAGGGTAGAAAATCGTTTACCACATAAAGGACATTCATATTGTGCTTCTTGATGAGTCTTCAAATGAAAATTCAACTTTCCTTTGGTTGAATATTGTTTATCACACACATGGCACATATACAAGTAGTCCCCTACAATATTAAAGTTATATTATTAAAAAGAAGTCCTAGGATAATAGGGACAGGTGCAGCCACTATTATAGAATATTTAATGGATACCTGTAAGCAACGATAAACCATTGCTTACGAAAAAACCATTTTGAGCAGAGTTCAGTTTAGTGATGTTTTGTCAACAATATACATATATATATATATATATATATATATATATATATATATATGTAATTTTAAAACAAAAAAATAATAATAATTAAATAAGCTTTCTATATTTTTCTTAATAATATTTGTTTAATGTTGTATTGATTTTCCAAATTTTTCTAAGGTTTTCCCATGCTTTATCCTGGTTTTTCATATTTGCTGAGAAAACTCCTGAGAAAAATGACTTCTTTAAAGTACCTTCCTAGTGAAATTTCCTTTTAGAAATATTGCTATAATTAAATTTTGGTAATATATTTCTATTCTTTTTTTTCGGTTTTTCAAATTTTATAAGAAAACTCTTGAGAAAATCGAAAAATAACATATCTAAAGTACTTCCCCACACTAATTTCCTTTCAGAAAAGATGCTACACTTAGAAACCAGTCAGGCAAGTCTTCTGGTAGATAAGTTGTTAACAGAAAAAAAAAACCATCTTTGTAAAACCATAAGCTTCTTTGTTCCATTCAGAATCCAAAAGACTTCTTAAACTATAGGTTTATAGATAGAGATAGTCAAAATTAGGGAGTGAGGAGGGGGTGAGGGAAGATGATATATACCATATTTTCTTCCTCAATATGTTTAATATACCGAGTGACTTTTATCGTTGAACACTTATTATTTTGAAAAGTAATGACTTTATTTATAATTTTTTTTTTTTGAAAACGTAATAAAGAAACACTTCTAAAATGTTACATTAGGTTTATTTCAGCATAGTGTTATTTAATGTTGTAAACTTTTGGCACAAGTACAAACTCAAAAATGTGTTCTAGCAAGGCAAATTATTTACTTATAATAAAATGTTAAAAATAATTATCTATTGACAATTTTACGTTCAGTCAGAAGTTTTGTGCATGCCTACAACATGAACTGTTATACAATTCTTGTTTACAACAGTTGACAACTGTCAACTTGTTGACACTCGTGACAACCATAATCTTCTAGTCATTACAGCCGAAAACTGTTCCAGCGGATCACTATAATTTTATAATTGCAAACTTGTTATTGTAGATGCATGCACGTTTAGATATGTTGCTATCAATGATTACTTGTTTACAACACTAATGCCGGAACAAACCTATTATCATTTTGTTTCATTAAAACACCGTGCACCGTACTGCCATATAAATGATACTGTTACTACTTTCTCTCAACTAAAATTTGGTGGAATATCAATGGGTCAAGTTAACAAGTTAACGGAAATCAAAAATTTCAATACCAAAATTTATTTTAACTAATACTCTATCTATTTAAGATTCATTATAAGTGGCCATTTGAAAATCAAAGTAGATAGTCGTTTCACTCTCAAGAATAAGGGTGACAAAAAAAAAAAAAAAAAAATTTAAAAATAGTCAATACTTTTTGAATGAATGAGTGTCCAACAATAAAAGAATCACCAGAGATATTTATTTATACATACAAAAAATCAGCTTTTCTCTCATAACAAAATCATTTAACTGCTATGGTTTAAAATACAAAAATATTAAAATTTAAAAGAAAATTAATATTATTAATACAATATTAGTTATAACCTGTATGTTTTGGTAAGTGTGAGTCTCTTGTTGATTTTTGAGTGAATTGTTGATCACAATATAAACACGAATACGGTCTAACATTTTCATGAATTAGTATATGACGACATAGATTACTTTTTTTATTGAATGTTTTACCGCAATAAGCTAAAAAAATAAAACAATAGTAATAATGAGAATTTAATAAATCCATCTAGAACTATTAACAATCAGAATTGAAATTATCTTTCGATTTTATTCAAAATTTTGAATAGAATTGAAATTGTTACATAAAGAAAGTCATAATAGTACCCATACTAATGTAAATAATAAACCATAATATAGAAATTAATTTATCAGAAATTAACTTCGAATTGCACAAGTTGTTCTTAATAATTAACAATTACTTTGGAAACCCCAAATTGTTTTATATTATTTTATGATTGGATAAATAGGTGAAAAATTAAAAACTATTGACATATAAATCATAAAAAAAGATGTACTGTGGATTAATAATCAGAGTGAATCAAAATTATTAAAGTCAGTATTATTCATATTAATTATTATGAATATCAAATTTTAAACAACAGCATGATTGCATAATGTGAAAAACCTCTAGTGATACTTAACATTTTAAATCATTAAATACTAACCTAGTTGTTTTTTTTCTAACCTTACTATTTTAGCATTCACATTTTACTGAAAATGTATTGAAAAATAATGAAACTTGAAAGCTCTTGCTTTAGCATTGGGCTAGAATGAATTTTACAATCCCAGAGCGTTTTTTTCTGACAAAAAATTATTAAAATAATTTATAAGCATAAAAAAATATAAAACATCTTTCGTCAGGACTGTATGATTGTAGTTTTTGTAAATATTTAATATTTATTTTTGATCAGTGTTTTTATACATTATTTTGACTGCAGTAAAAACTTTAATTTAAAAAACCAATATACTTCACACAATGGGTGAATCACTGTCAATCTAATCAAAATTTACAATGATAGAAATTTTTCTGAAAGGAAATCTGACTGGGGTGGTACTTTAGGGAGGTCATTTTTTGATTTTCCTAAGATTTTTTTTATATATTCGAAAAACCAGAAAATAAAGGTATACTAGGATAATGGGGATAGGTGCAGCCACTGTTATAGGTGAGAAGTTGGGAAGGTAAAGGGGAAATTTAATAAATATCTGTATGCAACGTTTAATTATTGCTAACAATAAATGATTCTGAGAAGAATTTGGTTATATATGTTTAAAAGGTTGTAATTCAACTTTCAAATAATACATTTTGTACAATTTCCTGTTTTTCTCATTTATTATGAAAACCCCATCAAAAAATGACCTCCCAAAAGTACTACCTCAGTCAAATTTTTTTACAGAAAAGGTGCTACACTCGAAAATCAGAGCAAAGTTGCTGGTAAAATGTTGTCCATAGAAACAAAATAAATAAACATTGTAGTAAAACTAAAAGTCGTTCTGCTCAGAATCTAAAATATACCTTACAGATTGGCAACTGAATAAGTGCTTGTACAGAACTAATAAGCAATTTTTAAAAATTAGCGCGAAATAACTTTTAAATTTTAAAATACTTTAAAAGTTAATTAACAAGCAGGCTATAAGCTAATTTATTTTATAAATAATTTAAACCAAATTTGACCAAACGTTAGTTTTTAAGTATTTAAATAATATATCTGATATAATAATATAATTTTATTTAGGTAGTATAATAATTATAAAACGTATGTAAGTTACCACAAGTTAAATGTGCACTTGTTTTTATTACATGTGTTTTTAAATGTTCTTCGAACTCTTTAAATGTCTTAAACTGGTGAATACATTTATTACATGGAAATACATCTTCATCTAAAAATAATAAAAAATATATTTATGTTATATTTATATTTATGAATTTCAAATAAATAGAAAATTACTTTGAATAATTTCAGGAAGAAATGATGAATTTGAACTAGTTTCTTGATTCATATCTTGTTCATTTTTTCTGTACAATTTTATGTTTGGTGTCTGAGGGCCTTTTTCATCCTGGGCATAAAAATGTTTACTGTATGGCAGAGAATTTATTCCATTTAATTGTAATATAGTTACCATGTTTGTCTGATCCAAATCGTAGTTAGATTCTTGAAAAATATGCCAAGGTTCAGATGAAGGGCTTCCATAATCTCCAAAAGATGGAGCAACAAAATCTATAGGCAGTGTTTGATCATCGTCTATTTCAAATCCATTTTTAGAATTACTATCTTGTATAGGTCTTAATCCAACACTCCATAGAATTGGACTCACTGGGTTTCTCACACCCAACACAGAGTCAATTTTTTCTTTTATCAAAGGAGTAATGTCGTCGGGACCATTCATGTGTAGATCTATATTGTTAGGTGTCATCGGTGGCTCTATTACATTACCAAGAGATACTAAATCTTCTGCTTTCCATTCGGTACACACATTTTGTAACCATTTCTATACAAAAAAAAAAAAAAAAAATCATATTTAATTACAACCATAATATTATAATAAAATAGCCTACATTTAAAACAATATTTTTATAGAAAAAAAAAAAGTAATACTTTTAATTTGTCGATCGATGATTGTATTCTTTCAAGAAATTGTTCATGCTGAGAGTTGAGATTTATTGTAGAATGCATGAATGTAAAAGATTCCAGGACTCCGACTTCAGTCATCTACAACAAATTCAAAATATTTTTTCTTAACTATCAAGAACTATAATTTATTTACAACGTAATTTGTTCATAATATAGAACAAAGGAGTACTTCTTTGTAAAAAAAAAAAATTGAAATAAGAATCTAAATGACAGTTTCAACTTATAGAATCGTATAATATTGAATGGACTATGAATAACTAGAATAAGATATAGGTACTTACGACGTTTAAAAGTTTATTGAACAAATCAAGTAGATCAGATATTATTTCCACATACATTTTAATACTTAGCAAAGCACAACATATGGGGGAAATAAATAAATTATGATTATAATATACACTCCATGGGCAAACAATATAAAATCATTAAATAAGTAGATTGATACACATATTATATTTAACTGCTGAAAAGGTACATAGTTGATTCTGGATTTATCAAATGTCATTAAAAACAAAAAAACAAAAAACACAAATACGACACACATTAGGTAGATAACTATTCTGTATTAAAAAGTTGATATATCACAATTATACCCAATGTTATACCTTCTGTTATTACAAGATATACCTTATCTCGTTATACAGATTAATATATCGGTATACCTACTGTTATCACAAGTTATACCATATTTTATCTTATCACGATTATACTTATCGTTATACCTTAAGTTAAAACTACTGTTATTACAAGATATACCTTATCTCGTTATACATATTTCGGTATACTTACTGTTATCACAAGATGATGTTTCCACGTATCTTATACATAGCAAGTATTTCGTATACGAAATATATCTTCCCCGTCTGTGTTACACACACGCCTTCTACTTCCTGTTGATTATTTTAACAAAATAATATTTTATATCGGTCGTACGCAATAAGATTTGTTATATTCGTATACGATATATAACCGTCGTCACAACCCCCGTCTCCTTCATGCATAATACGAAATATAATCGTTAGCGACAACGGACCTTTTCACCACTTCTTCCTGCATAATACGACATTTTTTATATTCGTATACTTTTACGAAATATAATCGTCGGCGATCCCTAAACCAATCTTATAAATATTACTTATACTCGTTATACATAGTAAAGATTTTCATATTCGTAAATAACAACATTCGTGCGAGGCAAGCATGTACAAAGATTCGTACCATATCTTTCACACACATATGTTATATATATACAATTTCAACTATATTACGCGGTGTACCATAGGTCCCGTTCCGAGAATCTAGTACGAAAAAATGTACATATATATATATCGTCAGCAGCGTACACAGTGTGTTTCATGCATGTAAGGACCTGTATGAGAAAATGTATTGTTATCGGTTTTCCTGTTCGAACATGCACACATTTTTCTGCAAACGTAAACCGATTTTCATAGGTATTGGATCGGTAACGATCCGATCGTCAGTAGTGATTTTACTACAAACTATTGCACTCGTCTCTTTCAGTTTTCTCTCCGATTTCGTTTTGTGTTAATTTTTTTAAATTATTATAATACAATGTTTTTTTTTCCGTTTAAAAATGTTTGTATGTACCAACACCGGTTGTGGGAAAGTATTTTTCACCGAACGCAATATGACTTGCCACGCTAAAACTCACGACGGTATTAAATTTCAATGCGCTCTGTGTCCGAAAATGTTCACGCATAATGACAAACGTAACGAGCACGTTAAAATTGTTCATCGCTATGTCGCCACCGTAACCATCGATGGTTGCCCCCAACACCACCGGTCCTTCAAATACTTCTAGCGAACCGTCACACGGACGATCACTATGGACAAGTGACGATGAAAATAATGAATTATTCGTGGAATGAATGGAAAACAATGTTGATCAAGGTAAGTTTTTTTTTATTTCCCTCGGTACAATAAGCGATATGGTTTTAATTTTTTTTTTTTCCATAGGTAAAAAACGCTTTTTCCTAACATTATTATTCTTAGATCAAAATAGATTATATGATTAAAAAACTTATTAGATCATTATCAATCGTATTTGAAGCTCTCGACGAAGACAATATAAACTATATTTTTCAACGCATTTTTATGTATACTGCATTTATCAGTTATTAACAAAGTGTATTATAACAAATTATATTTATCGATAAGACATTCTAACTGTGAGTCATGTCGGAACGTGTCTCTTACCACCAACCATAAAAGTATACATTTTGTAATGTATACGTTTTTATCTAATCTATGCCAGGTGCTATTCTTTTACATGGCCGCCCGAAATGTTTACCTGTTCAGCTACCTTATAGCCCACGCCCAATTCTTTATCCGCTGTTATCTATCACAATAACTCTAATATTTATCAATCCTATGCCAGGTGATATTCTTCAATGAAGCCGCCCGAATTTTTAAAATCTTTATCGATACATAATTTTGCCCTTCTCATTTATCATTTTTTTTATCTACACGCACCTCATTATCAATCTATATAGTCCACGCTCTTTTTGACTAAATTATTTCTCCAGTCATTATCAGCTACTTACTGGACAGACATACATTGTTATTATATACATACCATTATCACATACCTACATAGTTATAATATACTATAAAGGGTAACAATAATATACTTACCTATCCTGTGTTATGAGCATCCTCAGCCACAATGTTGAGTTTGAATATACGTATAATTATATTTATTTATTATGTTGATGAAAATAGGTAGTAGGAATGATAAAATAAACACTTAATTAAATTAAAAATGATGATATCGGAATGTTAGAAGTCGGAACAATACGCACTCGTGGGAAGAAGAAAAAGATGACGAGTCGCTACGGCAGGATCCGGTGGCCGAATGAGTCGAGGAATCTTTTATGAGAAAGAGGAAAATAGTGGAGTGGTGTTGTCCGGTTCTCATTATCATGTATTATTATTATATGAGATATTTTGTATTAATCTAAATTGATTTATAAACTGATAAAATAAAGTGGTGTTCACTATAATAAAATGTACTGTAGATAATATTAATGTTATATAATATTATATGATATATACCATATTATATTTATCATTACAAATGTCGGAACATGTCTCTACCCCCACCAAAAAATTATATATTTTGTAATGTTTAAATTTTTATTTAATCTATGCCAAATACTATGCTTTTAAATGGTCGCCGAAATGTTTACCTGTCTATCGACCGTATATAACGCCCAATATCTTATTCGCTTTAAAATATTATCAGTTCTTTAATCTTATCAACGATATTGTGGCGGGTTTCGCGCCACATTTCTTCTTCCCGCTGCGCATCGCTCGCGGCGGACGTCGGGCACGCCCTTTCGCCGTCGGCGTTCAACGGTCATCGTCTACAGCTCCGCTCGACTCGACTTCTCGACCGCTCCGCTCGCTCTCTCCGCACCGACGCCGTACGCGAAGCATTGTTTTCCGACTCCGAACAATCATTATATATAATTGTTTTTCTTAACTAATGTTGTTTTAATTGTTGCGTACTCGCCCTTTCTTCCGTCAAAAGCCGTCAGCTGGCAATCACTTGTTTTATGTCTTTATGTTGTAAATAAACGTTTCTTTATTACCTTATCATAAACCTCGTGTCTTGGTGTAATCCGCCAAATTGGTGACCTCGACGTGATTATCCGATCGCATCCGCCTTCGTCGCAATGGCTCAATCTACCGACCCTTCCGTCATCGAGGACAATACCTCCGCCATCGCGAACGTCCGTCTTCCAGCGTTCTGGAAACACTTGCCAGCTCTTTGGTTCTTGTACGCAGACGTCGTCTTTGCCTCACACCGCGTGACGGCTAACATTTCCAAGGTCAATTTTTTGCTCTCCATGCTCGACGAGGAAGGAATTCGAGTAATTGCGGACATTATGGGATCCACTGTCCTGTACGAGTTGCTCCAGGCTCGATTGGTGGACGTCTGCCGACACATGCTCGTCACGCATCTGCACCCTCATCCAGCCCGGCGGGCTCAGCGACCGACGTCCGTCTCAGATGCTCCGCGAGATGCGGGAATCTGTAGCTGGCGGTCTCAGTGAGCAGTTGCTCACTGATCTCTGGCTCCAGAAGTTTCCAGCAAACGTCCACGTGGTCATCGCGGGCCTCGATGGTCCGCTCGATATGCTCACGTTACGAGCTGACCGGGTTTTGGAGGCCTGTTCGTCACGGATCGACACCGCGTCCGCATCCGCCACTACCTCTTCTCCCGACCGCCGAAGTCGTTTTGATAGGCTCGAGGATGGTCTCGAGACACTTACACGTCATTTCGACTGATTCCTTCGTCGCCTCGTCCGTCCGAGCGATCGCAGGAACGTCCGTCTAGCCCGCACGCCCGTTTTGTTCCCTCCGCGGGTGTTCCGTGCTATTATCACGCGCGTTACGGTAGCGCTGCAAAAAAGTGCCGTCCGCCGTGTAGCGAGAAGCCTGCTCTCGCGCGTCGCCCAGAGTGACACTCCTCGCGTTCGTCCACCGCGTCGGAAAACTGAGCTTCATGGCCAGTTTTCCCGCAGTGCATGCCGTGGCCCTTTCTGCGCGGGCTTTCGCCAACGACATCCGTTCCGGGACATTGTTCCTAATCGACACTGGAGCCGAAATCGAGTCGATCATCCCACCGGGGGTCGACCCGGCCCAGCACTCCAACCTCTGCCTAACGGCCGTCAACGGCACTCGCATCAAAACTTACGGTTCCAGGACCCTCTTGCTTGACCTCGGGTTATCACGGCTCTTTACGTGGACCTTCGAGCGCGCTGACGTGGCTCGCGCCATCATTGGTGCGGATTTTTTACATCATTTTGGTCTCCTCGTGGGTATTCGGCGAAATCTTCTCATCGATCCCATCGACAAGTACACCGTGCGTACCACCTCGGTCAAGGGTCCAGAAGCACCACTTTTCTCCTTTTCGCGCCCTCGCCATTGGGACAAAATCTTCGAAGACTTCCCGGGCATCACACGGGAATCGTCGGTTCCGAAGAAGTTTGTTCATAATGTCGAGCACGTGCTCGCTACGTCCGGTCCGCCGCTTTTCGCTCGTCCGCGTCGTTTACCGTCCGATCGCCTCGCCGTCGCTCGCCGCGAGTTCGATCTTATGTTGAAGCAAAACATCTGCTGACCATCTTTGAGTGCGTGGGCTAGTCCGTTGTTACTCGTGCCAAAAAAGGATGGGTCCTTTCGATCGTGTGGCGATTATCGCCGACTCAACAGCGTCACGGTTCCGGATCGCTATCCGCTGCCGTACCTACACGATTTCACGGCCTATCTCGCGGGAAAAAAAGTTTTCTCGAAGCTCGATCTTATCCGCGCATACCATCAAGTGCCGATCGCGCCCGATGACGTTCACAAGACGGCCGTTACCACGCCGTTCGGTCTTTTCGAGTTCCCAGTCATGTGTTTCAGCCTCCGCAACGCCGCGCAGACTTTCCAGCGGCTCATCAACTCGATTTTGGGCGACCTCAGTTTCGTTTTCGCCTACGTCGACGACGTCCTCATCGCGTTAGCTTCCGAAGACGAGCACCGTGCTCACGTCCGCGCGTTTCGAAAAGTTCGGGATCGCCGT